GGACAACAGAGCTGCTTCATGGAAGAACAACCTCAGCTTAGCCTGTTAGCTTTAGCATTAGCCCCTGTGCTATCACCATATATATGTATTAGCTCAGCGCTACATATTCTTCTCATCACTGAGGTCCTCCATCCACATGACAGAGAGGGGAACACTGTCTCATATGGATGGAGGACCTCAGTTTAGCTTGTTTGCCTCGCACCAATAACCTCGTAGACGTCACCATTTACCCAGAATGCTTTGTGTGTAAATAAAATGGCTCCGTCCGTGTTAAAATACATTTTAAAAAAATTAAAAAACAGAACAGCCTACAGTATTTTTACAGTTAAAATAAATGTTTATCAAATAAAGAGTGACTGTTAGCTTACACTAATATTTTTACTTGTTTAGCTGTTTAACATTAGCTTATGCTCTGTGTTTTTATGTTTAGCATGCTTAGCATTAACGAAGGTATATTTTTATTCAGAGGAGTTTGAGTTAGCAAAGCTAACTTTTGTGTTGTTAGCTGTGCCCACCTCTGGATCTGCTGCACTGATCCACGACRCAAAGGAAAGGGAAAGGTGGACGTGTCGTTCAGAGCTGCAGGTGTTCTCAGGTGTGTCTGAGCAGCTTGGTTCCTGATTATTGGTCTCATTTATTTAATTCTAATCTGTTCTACTGACACCTCATGGTTTGTTTTGACTGAGCTCTGTCTCCTCCACCCTTCTTAATAATTTACCTCTAATAAATTCCTTCTATTCTTGATTTCCTGGATCACCTGTCCTCAGTGTTCACATGAAATATCTACATATTTTAAACCGCTGGGATTGAAAACGACCCAGTTGGGTCAAGTGTGGACCGATCTGACCATCAGGGTTGTGTACAGGCWGAGTTTTTGACTCATAAATCAGGTAAAATGACTTAAAATTTAAAATACTTTAATCACCTCTGCTWAACGTCAGCCGTTTGGAGTTCACGTGTGAAAACTTTTGGTTTATTCAAGTTGTTACTGTGAGCTTTGGTATTTGTGACRTTTTTTATTGAACAAAACTGTTTAAATGAATTGGAAATTATACTTTAGCTTTAAGTGTTTTGTATTGCTTCAGGTTTTTGCTAAAGGTCTGTTTATTTTAGCTTTTAGCTATTGTGCTAATTTTAGTCTTTAGGTAAAGTTTCTTTGTTTAGGTTTAATCCATATTTAACTCACTTCTTCCTGTCAGGGTCACGAGGGTCACTGGTGCCCACATCCATCATTCGGGGCGGGGTCCACCCTGGACAGGTCACCCGTCACAGGGCCAGTTTCAGCTACAATTTTGGTAATTCAATATTTAGCTTAATTTTAGCTATTGTGCTTTTTTTTTGGTTTGAGCTAAAATTTAGCTAATCTTTTAGTTGTTTCGGGTTTAAGCTACTGTTTTGCTAATCTCAGCTTCTTGCGTGTGTGCTTTTATTAGCCACTGTTTTTTAAGCCATCAGCTAAATGTACGCAACAGGAAATGTTTAGCTGATTTTAGATTTTAGCTACTGTGCTACTTTTAGGTTCAGCTACTATTTGACTAATTTATAATTGGCTGTAGTTTTTAGTGTGCTAATTTTAGGTTTTATCTTACGTCTTTCCAACTTAGCTTACGTTTATAGCTACATTTTTATTAATCCTAGCTCTTAGCTCTAATTTTATGTTTTAGGTAACGCTCGGTTCTTAGGTATTGTGCTATTTTTAGGTTTTAATTAAAATRTGTTTAATTTTAGCTCTTTTGTTCTGTTCAGGTTTAAGCTACAGTTTTGCTAATAGCTTCCTGCTACTGTGCTAATTTTATTTTTTTACTTATAATGGTTTTAGCTTCTGATGTAAATTTATGCTTTAGGTTAATGTTTTGCTAATCGTTTTTAGCTATTTTACTATTTTTAAGCTTAGCTACTATTTTGTTAATCGGTTTAAGTAGTTTTTGTTGCTGTGCTAATTTTAGATTTTAGCAAATGTTCTGACAATCATAGCTTTTAGTTGTTGTATGATTTTTAGTTACTGTTTTTTAATCATCTCTTATCTGTTGCGCTAATTTTATGTTGGTTTTGCGAATTTTAGCTTTTTTTCTGCTTGGCCTTTTTTTACAAACCGGTTTCATTTTCAACGAAGTTCTTCAGCATCTACATTTCCAGGTTGCAACTCCAGTTAGTGCTAGGTAGTGCTAACTGCTAATAGCATTAGCTAGCTAGCATCAACTAARGTTATTTTAAGAAGCCAAGCTCACTGCTTAGTACAAAGTAAAAAAAATTTAACAAAGCGAAGGTTGAACCCTTCATCCTGGTCGGTCCGGTCCAGTCTGGTCATGTTCGGTCGATGTTGGACTGAAAACGGTGGAATGTGACGAATGACAACTTGTTTCTGACCCGACCACGGGGGTCAGACTTCCTGAACCTCTGGTCTATCAGTGGTTCTGAGCTCAGTTTTCTCAGATCAGGTTTGGTCAGTACCCGGAACTCTTCTGACTTCTTTCCTGGAATCACGCTCCACACGTGTCTACCATCATGGCTGCAGGTTTCGGTCAAATGGTTCAAAGTTGTTGTTTTTTTTTTGCGTGTCTAAAACCCTTTTAAAGACCTAGCTATGTCAGAACTGATGCCACGACTGGAATCACAGAACCGTCTGATAAAAACAAACCCGACTCTGAACTCAGCCTCTCTTGCAGGTTTTTATGAAATTCGAACGCTCGAATCGGAGAACCACGTTGGCCCGATGAGCGTGTGTCAGATCTCCTCGCTGGTTCAGATATTCACGCTTCAATTAGCCGCAAGGAGTGGCAGCCGAAACAAAGACGATAAAGATGCCCAACCTTGACCCCAGTCCAGCCGGTTCTGAGGAATCCGGTCCTGCGGAATCAGGAAGCGATGTTTCCTGTCACATCTATGGCACCTATGTCATCGTGTCTCGTCTCCACAGCGACACACGATCCGCCGCCGCCATCTCGCCGTTCGCCCTCAAACACGGCCCCCCCGGCAGAGCGGAGCGCTTCGCCTCGCGCCGCTCATCGTTCGTGCCACAAAGACACATTTTAAAAGCTTGGACCTTTCCAAATTAACTGTCGCAGAAGTTTTGGGCGTCAAAACACTGTTCCGAACTTTTTACTTCAACCTAAAGAAGACATTTATACAAATCTGAGCCAATGTTTAGTATCTTCAAGTCAAACACATTCAGAGATACGACGGTGGAGGTCTTTATTGACCATCTGCTGTTTCCCAGCCTGCTTCTGTCCCTTTTATCGCTCCGGGCTTCATGGGACCAGTTTAACCAGTTCTGTGGGATTTCAGCAGAACAGGAATATCAAGGGAGAACTTGCCCGGGCCTCGGTGTTTGTGTTCCTCAAGGGGAGGACCGCTCTAACCGGTTTTCTTTTGGTGAAGAGATGGAAGAAAAAAAATAGAGAGAGAGAGAAAGAAGGGGGAGGTTGGTGCGTGGGGCGTTCTCCTTCACCTCTGTTTCTCCTCTTCATCGTGCCGTAACCTCGCAGTCCGTTTGAGAAGACCACAGAGAGAGGAGGAAACCTCGATCCGGGAGTGGCCYAAGGTGAGGTGAGTGGAAATTGGTTGAGGTCTCGCCCAAAGGCCGGGTTAGGATGGGTGCGCTGCAAGAACCAGAACCAGAACACAGGAAACAATTATATCTTCATCAGACCGGTCCTGGAGAGGCAATGGATAAAATCGAGTCATTCATAAGATAAAACATCTGTCTGTTTGGGTTAAACGGAGCTGAAGTGACTGAATCTTTATATGAAAACTTATCAAACCATCTTCTAACGATTGCAGAAATAAATGTGGCTCAGTTCYTTCACCACAGCATCAGCTGAAACTGATATCTGTGCAGAAAAAAAAAGACGATTCAGAACAGGTTTCCTTCAAACGGTAAATCTCCCGCCCTGACAGGGTYAGTTTGGCAGAGACCTCACCTGCAGGAGGGTCAGGTTGTCTTTGTGCACACAATGTGGTGAGGTCTGTCAATAAAGAAGGAAATTTGATGCAGTTAGCGATAGAGTTTAAACACCGCCGCACTGGAAATTCAGGGTAAGTGGCAATAAATGTGTGTTTGAGGGTGTGTGAGTGTGTGTGATGATAAAGAGATAGTAGAGCCAGTAAATTGGGGCAGACAGGTCTTTTCTTGCTCTGCTGAGGTGATCCGAACAGCCTCTTCCCTGACGTATCCTAACATGTCAGGAGAGCTGAAGGTGCACCCATCAAAAGGCTGAATATTGGAACTTGATTTCATGGTACAAGTCACCGAGTCTGTGGGAACATGGGTTTGTTTCAGTCTGTGTTTCAGATTATTGCATTTTTGTGTGATTTTCTTAGTTTAAGCAAACAAACTTAGAAAATCCAAAAGAGATTTTGAAGGGCGCCAACGTGTCCAGTGCCCCAAAACAAATCAACACCRTCGTTACGGTGGCATCCAGCATGATTCTGCTAATCAGCTAACAGAGAAATTAATTTTCTGATTAACTTTTTCACTCACTTGAAAACGATTAGCAGACCAATTAACTTAAATTAGTCTGCTAATTAACTATCAAGCTAACATCAACAGGTTTGTGTTGGTCACCAGTCTTCAGCTCGAAGGAGACAAATATTTGTTTAGCYGATTAGCTTTTACACTTTGAAAAGGATTAGCAGACCAATTAGCTTCCGCTAATACAGCCTGCTAACCAGTGTTGTATAAAGTACCACAGAGGGATACTTGAGTAAAAGTACAAGTATCTTACCAAATAATTACTTTAGTAAAAGTTAAAGTCTCCTTTAGGAATATTGAGTAAAAGTCTTAAACTATCTGATATTTTTTGTACTTAAGTATTAAAAGTAAAAGGATTGATTTAAAATGTGCAGTTAGATTT